CGAATGTACTGCACCCACCAGAGCTGCTGGGATAGCGGTATTTGGTGAGGAAGTTGTAGCGACTGCCGTTCTGCCGGTTGCTGTAGATGTTGCGGAGCTCAAACTGCAACGCATGAACATGTGGGGCCCCGGTTGCGTCGTGCATGTATTTTTTAGTGTGATGGTGTATGTGTCCTAGGGGGGAAGGGGGCATGGAATGGCGAATGAGGGAGTGAGGCGACGGGGTCAAGTGGTAAAGGTTGGGTACATCAACCTTACCTTCCTAACTATCTATTTACCTATTTCCGATTTACCGATCTTCCTATGTACCTGAAAATCCTCCTTCAACTCCGTGGGCCAGCTGCGCCCCTGGTCGCCGTTTCCCCCCGCTGCGGCCTGCTGCGCCATCAACGCCAGCAATAGAATGCCAAACACAACCCTCGCAGCCATTCTCAATTATAACTCCAGACCCCAAGCGGATCACTGCAAAGATTTATCTGGAAAAGAGACAATTCTAATTTGAGAGTATGGGGCAATTGCACAATAATATGTGGCATCCTTCGCTTAAATCCCCCATTCAGTTGTTGGTTGGATGGTGCGAATTTCTCGACTGATTCGTGGTGCGTTCCGGGACTGTGCTATCTGAACCTTGCACTGGATGGGACGCCGGCACAGAAGCCGTCTACACGCTAGGCATCGTCGCGTCTAACGCTGGCAAGCTGATGAGGGGTACGTGTTGTATCCTGTATGCTTACTGTTAAGCTCTAGGCTCGGTTGCCTAACGGGCATCTGACCGTTAGTCCGTTCAGTTCTAACACTGTTGTTATTAACTAATACCTGTTTGTATCCGCCGTCGTTGATCACAGGTTTAACTTATACTTATATCAGTTTATTGGCGGCTTGCGACTGCTGCTAGTCGAGTTCGCCGTCCAAATGCCGCACTGCTGCGGAAGTCCATACCGGCGTATGGGCGGGGGCTTTACCTTTACGTAAAGCTGGAATCTGCGTTCCTGGTTCGTCTGCTTCACCGGACGAGAGTAGTTCCTGTGAACTATGGTAAACTGAACATCGCACCGCCCAGTCGTACTGGGAACTTATCGGCGCGAGGCCCAAGTGGATGCTACAACGACTATTTATTCTTTCAACTTGTGTCAACCGGCATCTTTCGATACCACCATCCATGGTTGTGTCATCTTGAGCATACTACAGTACGGGCAATGCCGACATTCGCCACCATTATAATAAATGGGTGAGGTGGACTCGCCACAGGAACAAGGGCCATAGGTCGGTGTTCACGCCTTGCAACTGAGCTACAGACCACGTCATTAACAAGTTCGTTGTGTTACGTTGGCGCTGCCGATGTGCTTCTCAGCGTGTGTAGGATCATCCCTGGCCTGGTCTGGGTTGACACTATTGCAATTAGCGGTTTAAAGTCCTGAGTTCGATTTCCCGGGGAGAAGCCGAATTAGTCGGTAAAGCGAGATTAAGGCTAGTCGCTGAGATGAGGAGATGAGGTCATAGATGTTTGCTACCGCTCATTATTGCGCTCGCCAATGATCGGCCAACTTAATCTAATGCAAATTTACAATGCCATAAAAACGAAAATGTAGGTAGTGTTGTTACGCACTTTTCGGCGGCGGCAAGATTTCGCACGGCATCATCGCACGACCGATCTGCGTCGCTGTTCAGCCAGTAATTAACCCAGTACATAAATAACAAATACTTTGTATTAGATATGACTTCTTCTTTTCACAAATTGTAACGTTAGTTTGGCTTCTTTTCCTTCGCCGTTATCGTTGTGATAGACTGATCCTTGAGTCAATACATTCATTAAAGCCTTGGACTGCTAGTGAATATAAAGCTAGTAATTGTTGTCATTGTAGGTACAATCGCTGACGTTCAGCATTGTGGTCCTGCTCGCCATGACCACGACACACTATGACGACGGGTGATCGCCTTAAGTCCGCGTTAGTTCGCGTTAGTTCGCGTGACGGTGCGAATCTTAGAGTTAGGTGCGAATCAGCATATTTTTGTAACGCAAAGAGCTAACGCACAACGGCTAAGAAAAAGCAGAAATCGGCCCTCCTGGCTAAAATTTTTAAATTTTATAATTTTCAGATTATAAAGGTTCATTTGGAAATAAACTTGTGTCGTTTTGGTCGACTTGAGCAATTCATCCGTGCGTATGTTGAAACGCGAAGCATACGCGCATGTGTAGCAAGGCGATACGCATGCGATTTCATATTGCGATTCGTGCGTGTGGGGAGACAATGCGTAAAGCAATACGCGTCCAATCGCACATCAAACGCATACAGTCCGCAAGGCTATTCGCATGCGAATACATGTTGCGTTTCATGCGTATGAAGGCTGATTGCGTAAAGCTTAACGCGGCCTAACACACACCAAACGCACACATGTCGCAACGCAATTCGCATGCAAACAAATGTTGCGTTTAAGGCTCGTTGCGTCAAGTTTACTGCGGCCTAACGCACCAAACACACACCAAACACACACGATTTACTTTGATTAATCGCATGACATAACAATTCACATGCGATGTTTTATGTGTTGGTCGCATACTCAGTTCGTGAACCTTCACGCAGTCTCATGAGAGAATAACATGCTTGGCAGCACTCAGGGGGCCCTTCCGCAAACGAGATCGCATCAGGCGCAGCCTTACATCGCACAACGATTCATCATACCATCAATAGATGCCAGAAAGGCGGCGGGACATATGCCGCATGCGAACGCGCACGCAATTAGACCCCCGCTGGCTGTGAGGCAGTTGTGGGGACATGCCTGGGAGGCTGAAAGGGCTTCCGGACGCATAAATCGCATCAGGCACCGTCTTACACCGTGCCAACGATGTATGACGCCATCAACTATTTGCCGGAATGTGGCGGGGACGCTGCATCCAACACGCACACAATTAAACCCCCGCCGTGAGATGTGTCGGTGGCTGTGAGGCAGTTGTGGGGACATGCCTGGGAGGCTGAAAGGGCATAAATCGCAGTAGGAGCCATCGTACGCCGCAACAACGATGCATCATACCATCAACTAGTTGCCAGAAAGGCGGCGGGGAACACGGCTTGATCAGTCATGCTCGCTAGGCAACCATCATGGGGAAGGGATGTAAGGGTGTCCTCCTCTCGGATGGGTCGAACTACTCCCAGTGGCTCGGCGACTTAGGCGATTTCTTTGCAACATCCAAGTTGAAGACTACATCAACACCCGTCGCCTCCGGGCCGCAACGCCCAAGACGCCCTGGAGGAGGACGCACAGGCGCTCGGCTACCTGCATCTGTCCTGTGAACTGCCCATCAAGCAGTTGCTCAGGAATTGCCAGACCATTCTCGCCGCCATGCAGCTCTTACAGCAACAATTGCGTTCTGCATCCCAGGCCCGGCTGAGCCTGTTGGAGCCGCAGAAGCAGCTGAGCATGCGCGATGGGAAGACGACCACTGATTCGTTCAGCAGGCAGAGCAGCTCCGTAGCAATATAATCGTGGCCGGCGGCCAGTGGGACGAGAGCACGATGCACCACGCCATTCTCCATGGCCTGCCTCCGCAGTGCATCATCACCGTCGAGTTCACGATGTATCAGCCCAGCTTAACGACCCCACAGCTCGTGCTCATGCTGCGTGAGAAGGAGAACAACCTTAAGACCCAAGCAAGCAAGACAAGCCTGGTGGGAGCTGTCGGCCCTGGCCGTGCTGCCAGTGGAATCGGCAGCGCCGCCGGTGCTGCAGGCGCCGTGGGGGCCGGCGACACCTGCTACTACTGCGGACAGCCTGGTCACTACGTTCGCGAGTGTCCCGTTAAGCAGGCGGACGAGTCCGTCGGCCTTCACCGCAGCAACACATTCGAGCAGCTGCACGCCGCCGGCAACATCAGTTGAGGCAGCTGCAACCGCCACCGTGACGGTGGCGGCAGGGGCACTGGCAGCGGCAATGGCGGTAACAGCAGGGCCGACGGAGCACGTGAATGTGGCCGTGCTCGATGCGGCAACAGCCACCGCAACGGTGGCGACACTGCAGGCGGCAGCAGTGGCAGCGGCTCGGGCAGCAGCAGAAGCAGCCCACGCCAGAGCCGTGCCCCAGTGCTGGTCATCGACCGCAGTGGAAGCAGCTCACGAGTCACCTTCGACTCAGGCTCACCATACCACCTCACGGGTGACCGCTCCCTGCTGCACAACCATGTCCCCGCCGGCGCGCCACGGCTAATGGGGTGGGGCAACATGTCGTGGGAACAGGGAAGCTGCACCTGCATACTCGTGATGGACACAATGTCCGGCTGCACAACGTGCTGCACGTCCCCAGCTCGGTCCTCACCCTGACGTCTGTCGACCTCGTGAGAGGTCGACAGACCTCATGACACGCGGCTACTCGGTCACGTTCAGCATGGACAAGACGGGCTGCTAGTTCTTATGCATCAGCTTCCTGCACAACAGCCCGTCTATAACCGCATGGAGTGAGCGTGGGCACTATGCATGGACGTGGACCTGCAGGCGCCGACCGACGTCACCGTCAATGCCCTCAGCACCACGGGCGACAGAGCTGGCAGGGGCCAGGCCGCAGGTAGCAGCGCTGGCGGAAGTGCCGCCACCATCACCAGCACCCGTGGCGGCAGCACCGCCGGCAGCCACACCGGTGGAGGCCAACCGAACGGCGACAGCAACGGCAAAGGGCAACTAGGCAACGGCAGCCCCGGGGCCACTGAATGCTCAGTCGCCGAACTTGCGGCAGCACAGCGCCTGCACTGCCAGTACGGTCACCTCGGTTACCGCGTGCTGAAGCAGCTGATCAGCAAGCAGCTGGTGCAGGGGCCACAGGTCACTCCAGCGGCACTATGACAGGCGGTGGAGGCCGTCTGCGAGGCCTGTGTCACCGTGAAGGCCACCGCAACCGCCCACCCCAGCCGCGGCAACCGGCCGTAGCACGCACTGGAGGTCGTACACTCTGACCTGTGTGGCCCCATGCCGACCATGGGCCGATGGGGGTGCACGCTACTTGCTGACGCTGCTGGATGGTGCCACCGGTCTGTCCGCCGTCCGCACGCTGGCCAGCAAGAGCCAATGGGCGAAGTGCTGCAGGACATGGTGACACAGCTGGAGGCCCGCCATCCGAACCACGCACGGGTGCACACGCTGCACAGCGACAACGGCGGTGAGTACGTCGCCAAGCAACTGGAGCAGCGCCAGCACGGCACCGCACACACCAACTCGGCGCCGTACGACTACGACTACGACTAACTCGGTGTTCTGAATCCCTGCCTGCTTTGGCAGCCAAGCGGAGAGCATGCTTGTGGGAGATCATGCAGCTGTGGTACCTAGACAGAGAATTGCGTGTTCATTACAACGGACAGCCACCAAGCCACGAGTTTGCTTGTGTTCCAGAGGAAATTCACTGATGACCACACCACTGTCTTCAGGTGATGACTCCAGCTCTTGTGC